CATTTGGTTTTTGTGTTTTGGGACATCTGCAGTTAAATTCACATAAAATTTTATGATATTCTACTTTTAATATGAGTTGACCACTTTTTTTGCATCAATAACAGATTTCCACAAAGTTTAGAAGTGTGTTTAGGGCAATTTTTGGCCATTGTCTAGAAGTGTATTTTTGAGGTCAGGCAATAATGGTAGATGAAAAGGCCTGGCAACATTTGTGCCAAAGGTGTTTTATTGGGTTAAGTTCAGGACTCTGTGCAGGCCAGTCAAGTTCCTCCAAGCCAATTCCACCCATTAATTTTTTTTTATGGATCTTTTGCACTGATATGCTGTCAAAAGTTCAGAAGAGGCATCCCAAGACTGTTTAATTGAAATTATCTATAATAATTTGATATGTTGAAGCATTAACAGTTACTTTCACTGGAACTAAAAACACTATTTGTATACATATATATATATATATATATATATATATATATATATATATATATATATATATATATATATATATATATATATATATATATATACATACATATATATATATATACATACATATACATACATACAGTACAGTTGAAGTCAGAATTATTAGCCCTCTTTTGATTTTTTTTCTTCTCTTTTTAACATTTGCCAAATGATGTTTAACAGAGCAAGGAAATTTTCACAGTACGTCTGATAATATTTTTTCTTCTGGAGAAAGTCTTATTTGTTTTATTTCGGCTAGAATAAAAGCAGTTTTAATTTTTATTAAAAACAATTTTGGGACAAAATAGTAGTCTCCAGATAGTCTCCAGAGCAATTAAGGCAAATGGGCTCCAACCCGGTACTTGAAAGGTGTACCTAATAAAATGGCCGGTTAGTGTATATAGCATAAATATTCATGTGAGCCTAGAAGTCACCATTACTTTTTGAGCTTGTTAATCAAAAGCTAGATGTAGAAGAGGAGATGTTTTTAGAAATTTGGTCTCAGAATAAAAAGAAGCTTGACTAAAAGATCTGCATGGAGGATCTTTCTCAAACCAATATAATACATTGAATGTGTTCATAAAAATACATTTAAAATTTAAAATCTGCTATCTTATTGCAGTGTTATAGTCATTTCTGCAAATTGTCCTCATGTTATTTCATAGATAAAAATTGCAGAACTTCAGCGCCTGCTAGACGACTGAATAGTGACCGTATAATTTAATGATCATCACTGGCAGAGGTACAATAACAGTGAATGATCATAATTAAAATCTCATAACGCCATAAAGTCCTCATTTACAGCTCTATGACTGAACTCAAATGAAACTAATGATTAACAAATATCACAGTCAGCTATCTGAAGAGACATTGCCCTACAGGGATATTTCCGTGAAGTAATGATTCTCCAATATGGCACTATAAGACAACACAAGTTATGTTAATATCTGTAATTACATGTTTTTATTGGCTTTAAACCCCTGTCAGTAGCTCTACAAATACTGAGTGATCATCAATGACTGCTGAAAGTAAATCTTAGGCCATGCTTTTCTTACTTAGATTTTTTATTCTTGTTTCTAGTCTGAATATTTAAAAATTCTTAAACCAAGAAGAATTTTCTAGACAAGCAAAACGTATTGTCTTGATTTAAGAAAAAATATGCCAAAATTAAGTGAGTTTTTTTCCTTAAAACAAGAAAAATAATAGTGTTTAAAATAAAAAACAAGATTATATATTTTTTTAACCTTATTGGCAGATTATTCAGCTTGTTTTAAGAGATAACTCATTCAGTTTGGGCACATTATTTCTTAAAACAAAAAAAATGTTTTTACTTGTTTAGAAAATGCTTCTTGGTTTAAGAAATTGTAGATATTTGGACTAGAAACGAGAAAACCTCTAGGTAAGAAAAGCAGTTTTTGCAGTGTGCACACGCACATAGGCATTTTTATAAACAGAGTTTTCCCTGCTCTCGATTGCACAAAAATGGACTGAAGCATGTGAAGGGCACACCGAACCAACAGGCGGCGGTGAGGTTTTTATGCTTGGTTCACATTAAATGAAGTATTTTTGCAAGCAAATTGCATAAAAGTCTATGTTCCTTTGTTTCTTTCTTTTTTTTCTTTTTTTTTTTCTCTCTGTATCTCAAAAAAGGAAAGTAGATTTCCCTTGAAGTTCTCCTGAAATTGCATTATCAGTGTCAGTTTCTTTTCCTCCAGCATTGAAATTGTTATTATTTGGCCAAATGTGAATTCTGTGTTATCTTAATGCATGATGCTTGAAAAAACTCACATCTGAAAAAATGAATGTTCGCACCCATCAAGTCTGCAAGAAGATGGAAAAGTCTAGCTCATTATCATAAATCACTCCAACATTTATAATCTTGCCAACAGCAGTCGGTAGTATCTTTTCACCAGGTGCAAATTCAAATGACTCATTTTCATACTGTCATGTTATTATTATCATGTGATTTATTGTGCATAAAGAGTTAATGCCAAAAAAATATAACTCTGTGATTAATTGACATGTCCTTACATGTAACATCTTTGGTGTGGGATATAGAAAAGATTCGGATAGCCATCCTGCGTTGCAAACAATGCAGATTACTAAATGAGTTTGCTGCGAACGTGTAGAATTTGCATTAAAATCTTCACCCTGGCTGGAGTTTGATTTCAGTCACACAATGCTCAGTTTTAACTGAGTACAGTTGTGTGGACAGGGCTTAAAATGTTTGCCTTGTCAAGTCATTATCAGTTGTATTACCCTCGGTGGTTTCGTGTATAAACTTCTCTTTGGTTGTTGGATTTTTTTCGGTATAATGCTTATGTTACCCTGTTGTTTGGATGTATTTTATCAAGTGGATTTCAAAAGAGGAATTTTCTTAAGATTTCCTCCTGTGTTCCCCTGGCTCCCTATCTTCCCTCCAGTAACACAAGTATGACAGATTGAAAGAAACGTTTATAAATTGAATGGAAGCCATTCTGAGTAATAAGATATGTAATAAGAAATGTTTTTAATCATTAACAGATTACACATCTGGTGAACCTTTATGTCATTCTTGATACACCATGAAATCATTTCTTGTAGCTGTTTTGCTGTTATTTAGAACCATTTATTTAAACTTAATCACTATAAGTAATGATTCTAAAGAAAATGTTAGCAGCGCTTACTCAGGCAAAACTCTGCAATGCCAAGCAGCATGTCTCTATGAAGTTTTAGAGCTGATCTTTTTTTTTTCTTTCTTAATTTTGCTATTTGCTAGGGTGCACTAAATGGTTGCTTGAATACACTGTAAAAATCTGTAAAAACTGAAAATTTACTGGCAGAAAATTACCAGGACATTTTCTGTTAAATATTTAATAAAAAACAAAAAAACAAAACAGAAAATCCAGTAATTTTACAGTATATGCTCAGTACAATTGACTTTTTTCCATTACGGCTTATGCAAAAACTTCAGTAAACTTTACACAGAAGCATACATTCGTAAAAACAATTTACCTATATAAAATGTACCTTTAACATTTTACTAAAGTGCATTAAAATACAAGGCCAATGTAGCTTTCCAGATATAGTACAACTAATAAAGCACAATGCAACTGAGAATACAGGTAAAGTAGCTGTAAAATGAAAATCAGATATGTTTCTTCAATTACACAGTAGTTTTTTTTAGATTGTTTCTGGATTTTTTGTGTAGTTATTATGGTTATAAAATGGTTAAAATTAAAACAACTGTCACACTTTTTGTACCTAAGTTAAGTCAGTGGTGCATTATGGGCTGATTTTAGGCTGCATTTTATCACTGACCCCTAAGAAAGTCCTAACGCACCTCAACTCAACAAGACTGTCAGTTTGATACCTCATTTATGGGTCTACAATGAATAGTGCAGGATGAGTTACATGCCAAGGTGTTGTCTAGCTGGATAACTTAATAGCTGCCAATACAAACACTACAGGCTTCTTGATGGTATGAACAATATAAAGCAACCTCCATGCTTTAAAGATATTTAGATTTAAAGATAATCGACTATGGGTTTACAGGAGGTTTAAAGATGGTTGATCGGGTTTGACTCGAAAGCAATGAAGGTGATTTGTGAACTGCTTCCCTGTGTCATACGAGCCCCTTCCATGTTTTTATGATACAATAATCCAAAGATTGGATGTCTTTGAATTTAAGCCCAATGCGCTTTTATTGCTAAGGAACACAAATAGTTTTGCAAGAGTGCGGTTACAGATTGTGCAAGAAAATTTATAAGACTGATAGGAGTCAAATAACCCCTGTCCCATGTCTCTATGGCATTGTGTACCAAAGACATCCATTCAGTTTTTTTTTTTGTAAAGGCAGATAATGAGATTGTTTACTATAGGGTGCTCTAAATGCTTGATAGGGCATGGCCTGACAGCTTCCTGATGATCCTGAGAGTCTGATTGGTAGACTAAGCAAAGTGAACCAATGTCTCTATGATGTTGTCATGTAATGGTCATTAACATTTGAATAACGAGAGTCTATAGAATCTATTTACTCCAGTGGACTATTGGTCCACAATCCTCCACAACTTTGGGCTGCTTCAAGCAACTCCTATGGATCCCCAAAAGATCCTTTCTCAGGATCCCCATATTATGAAGAACGCTGATGGTAAAAGTCAATTTGTGACTATATTATTATTAACAATAATGCAGATTCACTGAAACATATTTTAATATTTTATTTTGTAAGCATTTTATATAATCTATATTATAAAGAAGCTTTAATTACTAAGGGTGCAAGGGATTTATTTTGTCCTTACCAGATATAAATAATTCAACAGATGTTATAATATAAAGAGGGGAGGATATTTGTTTATTTATTTGTTTGTTTATGCAAAGCACCTAAGACATATCATAGTCACCTTAGAATGATCCGGTTTTATCTGCTATTTTTGTCAAAATTGAGTTATTGACATATTCTTATTAAATGACAACTTATTTACAAGTTTTTTATAAGTTATTTATAAGTTTTATTTAAAAAACAAATGTTACACACATTCTGTTTGCTATATGGAATGCAAAATCTTTGAAACTCAATATCTCAAAATTATTCAGAATGCAGATAGAACCTTATATTTCCAAGGTATTACCATATATTGGCATTATTACACTAAAATTATAATGAAAAAACTGCAAAGAAAAAATAGTAACAGAATAAAATTGGTAAAACTTTAAATTTCAAATGTAAACAGACAAAATACAAATAAAAACTGATTCATAGCTTAAAAACAACAATAGTTACTGTGTGATGGTAAAGTACATCGTTTCCAGAGCACATAATAATCTCAAGAAATATATACAGTAATCATCATCTCAATCAAAATTCCCTCACAAAACATTTCCAAATTTACCCAGTTTCAATGTCTTCACCAAACATGACTTTTATTGAAAGCAGAAGGTGTACAATGCAGTTTTAAGATATAAACTTTTTCTTTGGGTTAATTTTAATGTTGGTTTATCTCTAGGAATCAGAAAGTTTCTTTCGTGTCAAAGCCCATGTTGTAATTCCAAAAATTCCAATAACCACCACAGACGCCAGGCAAACAGAAATAGCAATAAAAATCAGCTTCAGGTCTAGATCTCCTGTGTTTGGATTAGGGATAATCTGTAAACCTGAAGCCACGTTAGACATTTCAGATTTCAGCTTTTCGTTGTCCTCAGACTGAATCGCAAAAAAGAGTATAGTGCCATTTTGGATGGGAAAACTGAGATTAAACAAATGCTGTTCGACTGATCCAAACACCTGTGGTGAGATGACAGATGTGTTGACTACGTGAGCATTGCTGAAGTTGAAGAGGAGGTCTTTCACTTCAAAACTCCACCTGATGTCATAGGATTTAGCTTAAAATGAAAAGAAACACACTGTAAAGTCAACAAAAGACTTTATTTTGTGGTCTAACTTTGAAATTGCTTGTATATTGCATGCTTTTACCTGACCCTTCATCAAGGTCTTCACCAGGAGCCGTCCAGCTGAGAAGCACAGCGTCCTCCTGGATCTCAGCACTCAGATCTATGATTTTGCATGGAGGGAATTTTGGTGGCTTTGAGCTTGTTAGACTCACCTCAAAACTCTCACCAGTGGCTGTTCTGGTGAAGCTTCCAACCTCTGGTAGTTCCTCAGAAACTGAAAGCTTTGGTGGGTTCAGCTCCACTACACCTGAAATTAGAGGAACCACTTGGATTATTGTGAGAAATTGAGGTTGAGGGAATGTTTGTTTGCTTTTGGAGTCTCAGGGTTTACCGTTCACCACATATCCGGGTACGTATGGTGCACCACCTCTTTTTTGAAGAGTAAATCTGGCTTGTCCATCTTTATTTTTAACCCTTACTTTCAAGCTGCTTCTCCCCTTTTTCATCCGTGTGAAATATCTAGAATAGACTCCATCATCTTTGAAAGTATCTGCTCCTGTTAAATAAAAAAGTTATATTATTTGAGGACTTTTGAACACATA